ATAAAATCTAACTGGCTATCTCGAATAAATTAGTTGTTATGACAAATTCTATATGCTCTTTTAAGAGATGTTTATATTGTTCAGTGGCAATGGGGAATGTAGTATGCTATACTGGAATACGACATACTTTGCCAAACGTTACTTAGTAGTCTATGAGATTCTAAAGGCTGATACAGTGGTATAAATTCTTTATTTGTGACCGGCCACCCGGCCATTTTTCAAAACCTTTGACCGGTAAGCGACCGGTGTTTTTTTCTTTTTGTTCGATATAAATATGCTAGTTTCTATCATATGTTCTAGTTATTAGCCAAGTCAACCGGGCTCGGTCCAGCAGTTTGACCGGAATCGGTCGAACCAACCGGTTGATAAGTCTCAACCGGACCGGACTGGAAACGGGTGCCCGGTCCGGTTGCATGTGTCTCTTAGACTAGACGGTGGAGCATCGATACCGATGTCTCCTAATCACAAGTTCTGAGCGAAAGATGTGTTAACAACTCCATCAGAATGCAGTGACGACTATCAAATTTCAACAGTTGATTGATCTCTCATTTGTGGATCCTCATGGCATTTTGTCACCAGTTATCAATGAAATGAGTATAAGTTAACATCGAAGCGTCGGTTTCCCGTCCGGTTCCGTCGGAGGAAGCATTGACTTTTCTGTTCGTGAGTGTTCTGCACAGTACACGAGCACAAAAATGTATGGTCAGATGTTTCCCATATGACTTCGCCACTCAAAAAATGTGTTTTACACTGAAGAGAACGATGTCGATAGACTCTTTCAAAGAGACTGAAATTAGTTCGGTGATCAGCACATCCTCTATGGTATACGTGCACAGAAGTTCAAGTCCAAAACAATTATGTTTTGATGGATTCAGATATCTGGATACTTTTGTGAAGTACCTAGTTATCTCCAACATACTGGACATATTTCTAAAACGGGATAAGAATTTATACCACTGTATCAGCCTTTAGAATCTCATAGACAACTAAGTAACATTTGGCAAAGTATGTCGTAATCCAGTATACCATACTACATTCTCCATTGCCACTGAACAATATAAACATAATCTCTTAAAAGAGCATATAGAATTTGTCATAACAACTAATTTATTCGAGATAGCCAGTTAGATTTTATATCTTGTTTATTTTGTGTTTTTCGAAAGCTCATGTTTTAGATCATTGTAATACATTTATTTCCACTTGTATTCTGGAAGAACCATGTTTAAAACATCACTAGGAATAATCATAAGAAAAAAGTTTTTCATTTAGTATACATGCTTATGATCCCACTTTCTGAGAGAAAAAAGCTCCAATTTGTATTATAATTTTTGTATACTTCACTGTTTCATCTTTTATCGCAGCTTTCATACTGGAAAAAAAGAACAAAGAAACAAAAACAAAAAACAACAGTTCAGAAAAACAAACTTTGAGATTAGCAAACAGAATAGCAACAATTATGCAAGAGAAAACGAAAAATAAATAAAAAAACAAATAAACAGCAACAACAAAACAAGAGCAAAATTGCATCTTTCTTTTCAACATTGTTGTCGATCGAACACACACATATACGTTTACACGAAACAACTGTTTTTCTGAGAATACAAGACATGAGAAAAATGACTTTTCGTTCGTGGGCACTGTTCATAGACACATTCTTTATGAGAAAGAAAAATACATGATATCTCGAAAATAGTTTACAAGATAAAACAGAACGTCTTTAAAACGATAATAGTAGTCAAGAAAATAAATAGATAAAAAACAACGACAGCAATAATAAATCACACGGCTCATAATAATATGACTTTACTTTAACTTTTAAACAAACAAAGATACACGTATATCAGTGTAAAAAAATAGATGAAACTTTATTTCACTTTTTCCGCTTGTTGAGTTATCCGTTGTGTACGACGTTTAAATAAACCAGAACCATCAATTGGTCCAAGTGTGAGTGATTTATTTGGGTTAGCATTGATAGCATGAAATGTGGCTTCTAGATTGTGCTAAAACAAAATTATATAATAGTTATATAAGTAGACTTTTGGTAAAAACATGTGTATAAAGTTTAAAAAAAAATGGTTATAAACCATTGAAAGAGATTGTATTCAATTGAATCTTCAAACGAGTTAGAGTTTAAAAAAGTATCATCAACATTTACGAAAACGGAGATTAAGAACACCCGTAAATATTAAATTTGAAAATTCTTCTTGCAAAAAATTAACAAAATGAAGATTTTACCCGCACAAGTTTACAATCTGGTATTGTTAATTTTTGGTCTGGTAATCTGTCCAAATTAGAGAGCCAGCTATGATTTAATATATCATGTGCTGTTGGTCTTTTTTTCGGATCAATATCAAGCATTGATGATACTAGAGCCTAAACATATAGATATCATCATTAATAAATAAAATAAAATTTTAATTAATGCGATTTACTTTTGCATTCGGTGATACTTTATCCCAATTTGGTCCTTTAAAAGATAATTTTGCATTCGTAATACGATATAATATCAAATCGTTGGTATCGTTTCGATCAAAAGAAAATGGTGTCGTTCCAGCTAACATTGTATATAATAATATACCCAAACTCCCTGAAATAGAACAATTAAATAGAGTGCTAAAATAATTTTAATTATAATAAATTATTTACAAATATCACAGGATTCATCATATTTTTTTCGTTGCAATACTTCTGGTGCAGCAAATTCTTTTGTAAAGCATGGTGTCATCAGCAGACCATTTTCTGCACGAAGTTGTTTAGCAAAGCCAAAATCAACAATTTTTAGCGTTGTTGGATGTCTTGATTGATCACTATACATAATATTTCTTGGTTGTAAATCACGATGAACTATTAATAAAATGAATAAAATAAAAACATATAAACTTTAAAATGAAATATTAAACTTACCAATTGAATTACGATGTAAACTTTCGATAGTTTTAACAATAGTAAACATAATTCCTGCACTTTCTTTTTCTGATAGTGATTTTTCTTGGAATATTTTATCCATTAGTTCACCGCCACGCATTAAATCCGTAACGATATATACTTTTGGTGAATTAAAATAAACGTCTCGAACCTATTAAATAAGACTCCAAAACATAGCACAAAATGATCATTTATTGAAGTGATTAAATAACATACCCTAATTATATTTGGTGAGTTTGCAGAATTCAATAATATTTGAATTTCATCAGTTGGATCATTTAATGAATAATCGGAAATTATTTTAACAGCGTATTCAACGTTTGTTAGACGACTTATACAACGATGACATATGGCAAATTGTCCTTGACCAATTTGTTCTTTTAAATCGAAATCTTGAGAAAATAGTTGTAGTTTTATTCCCGCTATATTTCTTAATCGTTTTTCTACTTCATCAACGTAGAGTGGATCATTAACTCGTTGTTCAGTTAATTCTGGAGCGATATAACTAAAGCCTGCAAATAAACCATGAGCATCAGCCGATGGTGGAATGCCCGGTGAATCTATAAAAAAGAAACATTATAAATTTGTGATCATGCTATGAATGATAATTATTCTACCTGTAGGTGTTTTACATGTGAATTCTTTATCAAAATGATGGGCAAAATCACTATGAGTTGGTGGAATAAATGGTGGTTCAATTCGTTTTTTAAATAATTCAGACCAATCAATTGATTCAAAAAATGGATGTTTTTTAATATTTTCAAAACCATCAGCTCCAGCACCAAGACGATTAACAGGATTTCGTTTAAATAGTGATCTTAGTAAACTTTGAGCTTCAGGACTAAGATATTGAGGCATGGCTAATTTTGCTCTAATGAAAAAATGTCATCATAGAGTACTTATTCATAAAAAGAATGTATTAATCTTACTTTAGTATTAAATTCATTGTATCTTTTCGATTTGATCCATGAAATGGAAGATGACCAGTTAACATTTCAAACTGTTTAATAATGAACATATATTGTGTTAATTGTATAAGGAAAAGAAGTAATACTTACAGCTAATACACCGAAACTCCACCAATCGGCTACATGTGAATGTCCTTTTCTGCTTACAACTTCTGGTCCCATATATTCTACTGTTCCACAAAATGAATAGGTTTTTGCTTCTTCGGAATGAATTGATTCTTTACTAAGACCAAAATCTGTTAAAGCAATATGACCTTCGCTGTCGAGTAATATACTAAAAATAGAGTTAAATAAATTGATTCTCTTTTGTTAATCTAATAAGTTGAAGTTTTCACATACTTTTCCGGTTTTAAATCTCTATAAATAATACCTAAACAATGTAAATGATCTAAGGCCATTGCTAATTCGGCGAGATAAAACTGTACATCACGTTCGGTAAACATTACTATAAAAAATAAAGTAAAAAGAAATGAAAGGTATTTTATAAATTTCTATTATTTTATTTCATTATTAACCTTCTTTAGATAAACGAGTAAATAAATCACCACCACGTAAAAAATCTAACACTAGATATACTTTTCCTTCCGTTTGAAATGCTAAAACCACAATTATGTAGAGTAAAAAAATATTTTTTAAACAGTTTTGAAGAAAATAGTTTACCATAATGTAATTTAACTATAAATGGATGATTGATTTGAGCTAGAATATCACGTTCCATTTTTGTTCTTTGACGATCACGAACTAAAATAAATTAGTATAAATGTCAATTGTCAATAAGAAAAATGTTACTGTGTTATGTATGTACCTTTAAGACTGGCTTTTTTTAATACTTTCATTGCATACAAATTACCCTGATCGGGTCCAATATTTTTTCGTACCAAAAATACCTATAGGAAAACATTACATATAGTTTATAATAAAAAAACATGTATAACTCTTACTTTTCCAAATGAACCAGCACCAAGTACCATAAGAAAATCAAATTGATCTCGATGACCTTTATCACATCCTTCCTTCGTGACATTGGTAATTTCAATTTCATGTTCGACAGTTGAGGACTCATCCTGTAAGAGAATAATGAGAAAAATTCATTTTTAAAATTTAACTCATCATAAAAAATATCATTCTCACATTACATTGACTTTTTTTCATAAAAATACGCATAATTATTTACTAAATGTACAATGTTTTTTTTTATAACAAAAAAATCAAATTGAACCATGAAAGATAATCGCAGTGAGAACTAGTTATATGTCATATATTTTCTTTTCTCTTTTATATTCTGATGTCTTTCAGTTTTCTTCCTCGTTTGCTGTATATCGTCTGAATACCATATCATTATGACCTATATGTAACAGGACAGTAACGATAGAAAAAGCACACATTATAGGAAACACGATACACTCGGCTGATGATAATGAGAAAGGAATAGTGTAAAAGAATTTCGAACATCCGTTGTCATCGAATAAATAATATACAAGGGAAGTGACAATATTGTAGACACATATGTCGATTCATGTACATTGGCTAATTATTAACCTATTTATCAACTCATTTAACACTCTCATGAATAGTCTGTAGAACAAGCAAGATTTTCCATAATTAACTTTGGTCATGAAATACTCAACTCCGTTTTAGGCTAATTATTTTAAGCAACTTTGTTAATCAAATCTATTGAGACAGAAATATCTATGTTATCGTGTCATCAAACATTTTCACAAATAATAGTCAAATCGGAAGGATTTATTGTATAGGATGCTCTAATGACTCCATTTTTTTCATTATTTCTCTGTTTTATCGAGAAAAAAGAATTGGACACGTTTTCATGCTACAAAAAAACGCTGCTTCAATCAAATCTAGCGTGCAACAAGAAAATATGTAGTAATAAAAAGCAGACTAGTTCTCTTGAATGATTTTCATGAGTAATTTCTAGAAACTAACAGTTGCCGAAGAAAAAAATTACTTAAAAATATTTTAACATTTAAGTACAAATCAGTCACGAAAGATATAACTTGTTTTTCCAATTCTAAAAATAATTACGTTAGAAAAATAGTTATTGCTATCTTTTAGAAATTAAACACAGATGAGGGCGAAAGGATTGCGGAGAGAATTTGTTATTTATCATGGTATTAGTATAATGCTGAGAGAAAAAGGGCATGACTAGATTGAATAAGAATAACAAAATGAGCGTACATCTAAATTCTTGCTCTTCTTCTTAATAGTAAAAATAGAAGTTCAATGACAAAGATAAACAATTTCAAGTGTTTATCTTTTAAACAAATAGATATTATTATTTTTTTAGCTTCTTTTCGTTTATTATACTTATACATTTACGGTCGAAATTTGATATCTTGTGTATATAATACACTATATATTACAATCAAAAATGTTTCCCTAACAATCCGCTTACCCGTTTCAGATGCATTGTGTTACCCTTAAAAAACTAATCGAACCTAATAATTGATAAGTGTACTGAAATATTATTCAAATCTAGAGAAGAAAAAATAATAGCAGGAAACAAACTACAAATCACATGTTTAAAAAAATAAAAACGTTATAATATAGGCATAAAGAAAAAAATATTAAACTAATCTATATCTAGTCTACTATAATCCACCTAATATTAAAGAAAGAAAGAAAGAAAGAAAGAAAGAAAATGTATTGAGAAGAGAGAGAAAGATAAAACATTTTTCTTTTTGTTTCCTTCTTTATATTCAGCAGATTTTGTTTCTAAAACAAACTCACCCACTTGTTTCTGAATTTTTATGAGTAGACAACTAACTTAATATAAACGATTAAAAGCTGGTCGAACAGTACGTTCAAGTATCAATGAAAAGACACACGTTATTGACGTAAGGTTAGATCAATGATTTTCTTAAAAGTATATATAATTGAAACAATAATTAAGTGATAATATATTATCTGATATAGATACAAAAAATGTGATGTCTGTATTTTCGAGATTTAAACACAGTTTGAAACACGTGTATAAGTTATTAAAAATGTATTTTTTGGCGACACGTTTTTCAATTTGACATAACATATGTAAAACAGATGCACAACATTTTTCTTCTTCTTCAACTGTTTTCCAAGGTTGGCACAACAAAAAAACATCAAAACACAACAAATATGAAGAAAAGGTCCAAGGTTGTTTCATTATAAATTAGCTGTATGTGGCACATATTTAAATATAAATAAAAAAACGCAAACTTTTATTAAAAAAATACTTGACTATTAAGTATTTTACAACACTATTGTAGTTCAAGGATATTTCTGAAAAAAAGGAGTGTCATTATTTAAACATGTTTTATTTTATTATACAAAACAATTAAAATGCTCAACAAGTCGTGTGCTATTTCTGCCCTCATAAATATCAAACAGTTACTAATAATACGTTGTTTTAATTTTTTGTATGTGGGTGGCGTGGTCTGTTCAGTCGCACATATGCTTTTTCACTCAGTATACGTATACAAAACAAATTTTGCATAGGCGTTTTGTCAGTTATATAAAAACTACAAAATAAAACGTGTAAGAGAACGAAACATGATCGGAAACGTTTTACTTTTTTTATGTGAATAAAAGGAATCGGTAGTGAATAACATACGCATGAAAACAAGTAGAAGAAACAAAAAAAAATCTTTTTTTGCTTTTTCGTAATAAAATCCTTCTATTTCTTTTTGTATATGTGTAGGAGTTTTGGTGAGGTGAGTTTTAGCACTCATATACACCATGAATTAGTTAGTTAACTTGATTATAATGAATTAACGAATTATGACATGTAAAACAATGTGCCTCTTTCAGTTTCAAGCGTTCTAAAAATGAAGAGTGAATAAACACTTAACATTTTAGATCAAAATTTTGAGTTTCACTTTAATATAGATTCACATTAGATAAACAAAAAATAACTAACTAACTAAAGAGCAGAAACAAATTAATAAATTTACTGAAAATCTAAGTTCACTGATTCGAATCTTTTCTATTTATATATAACTGATTTTGTGTTTTTCCATAGGTCAACTTTTTAGAATACACTATAATGGAATTTCTTTCGCTAGTATTTTGGAAAAATAAAGTTTAGAACAAAAACGTACAATAATAAATTAGTGACCAATATTTTAAAACATTCGATTCAGATATACTATAATTTTTTAATAAAAACTTAAAATGATAGAAAGAAGTTCATTCAAAATTCAAAATTTTACTTCCAAATACTGGATGTTGTCAAAACAAGATCGTTTTGACAAACATATTAATGTAATCATAAAGGAGATGCATTAAAACCGCAAAAAGAAGAAACATATATATATATATATAATAATTTGTGCGCAAGAAAGAAAAACATTTTCAGTGTTTTTCATTCATCTTTATCAACATGATCATAACAGAAGGGAGAAACAAAAAAACAAACGCAAATTTAGTCTAGACAATAATTTTTTCATAGAATGTTGTCAAGCTGAAGGACATATACTCAGAAGAATAACAAATAATAACAACACTTGCTTTTTTTGTTTCTATGGAATGTTGGAACGAACGTTCATTTACAAGTTTGTTTTCCTATTCATTGTATTAAAATATTTTATACAGATTAACAGTGAAGGTGAAACATGTTTTTATTTTTTATAGAAAATAACTTCTATATATGTTGAGTGAGATAAGTGTCTACTTATTTTCCTCTTCTTTCAAACCATGATGGAAACGTGTTCTTCATTAGAGATTATTTTATAAAATCATCATAGTTTAGAAAATACGGTAAAAGATGTAAATTAACAAGTATAATACTAATGTGCAAAGTATATAGAATGTTGCAAGGATAGTTACTTACACGTGTATGAGATATTGAGAATGAATCAGATAGTTTACAATTCTCATTTGGAGTTTGCTGTTGATGTTCATTATTTCTATTAAGTAATTCAACTGATGATAATGTATTAGTGTTATTATCTTCGCTGACTGTTTTATCGGACATATGATGTTGATCATCGGTTATAGTCGATTTAAATGTAGTTAAACTGGATATTTTTTTCAATGTTTTATTATTAGTTGAAAATGAATTAAATTCTGGACTAGAATGTGATTTTCTAAAATCATAACATTGCGGTACTGTTTGTGTTTGTCTTTTAAAAAATTTATTTAACGTTGAAAATGTTCTATAACTGTTTGATTTACGACGATTAGTTTTTCGTTTTAACGTTAAACAATGTAATCGTTTTAAGGTAGATAAAAATCCATGTTGTTGTTGTTGTTGTTGTTGTTCTTGACTTTCATCATTGTACGATTGAATAGTATGAAATGATGCTGATTCAAATGATTTATTTTGATCATTCATTGATGAACAACTTGACGTGGCTGTTGTTTGATCATCAAATGAAATTAAATAAAATTTATGTTTATGATAATCAAGTTCAGGTAGATCACTTGCAGTATCGATAATAGTTATTTTTTTGTTAAAATTTTGTTCATTATTAATATTACCATCATCATGAACTTGTTCAACCATTATATTAATATTGTTTCGTAGACTTCTCATAATAATATCAGATAAAATTAGTCACTACTATATTGAAATTTTTTGTTTGGCGAATGAATAAGTGAATATTAGAATGACGAGTATATTGCAGTAGAATGTTTAGTAAGTACTCTTAATTATGACACAACATACGTAAACGGAAAAACAAGAAGAAAAAATTTATACTAAAGAAAAAAGAACAAAATCTCTTTCTTTTTACTCTGATTATGATATAGAGAAAAACAAATGAGAAGAGAAAAAATATAGATTATTCGTTGATGATGTCATGGCAAAAACTTCGGCAGATAGAGAAGGGAAAAAAGAATAAGAAGGAAATTTTATATCGTAGGTGTTATTTAAAATAAAATAATAACATTTAGTTACAGGCGAACGGCGCTGACCTTGTTCATAGAAGGTTACTGTAACATAATAATCAAAAGACGTCTATCCATTTCTCTCCATCGCATTATGTTAACTCATATGGTTTTAGTCATCAATAGTTACACGAAATAGAAATAACATCATACTGGGAATGTTCTCATAAGTTGAGGAAAAGTCCAAAGATATATTTTTTTGTTCTGTTTTAACCAATCTAATGGAGAAAATAAAAGAACAATTTCCCAGATGACGAAAAGAATGCATGATCGATGAATGAAATGGTGCTTACGATCGTCAAATGGAAGTACGTGACGGCTATGACGTCATTAGCGTTAATGTCCTTGGCATATTCTTGCGTTCTTTCGAACCAGTTAAGAATGTTTATTTTTCGAGAATTTTTGAGAAAACGAATGATTCAACTGTAAGCAACAGACACACAGTGCATTAAATATTAATTCTTGTTTGTGAATATATGTTGCATTTTAATGTATAAAAAACTTTCTGTTCCCATTGCACTCAATTGATTACAAGAACATCTTTTAAATTAAAAAAGCTGTAACACAGAAGAATTCCTTTCACATCTGATATTTTTCAAATTCTTCTCCTTTTTTTTTCATGAATAGAGAGCCGAAAGAGCGGAAGAAAAGTACAATTAGTTTCTATAGACTACTACTCTAATGAATAATTCTAACGTTTTTTGTTGTCATGTCAAAAACAAACGAAAGATGCATAGATCACACAGTGGGGAAGAGGAATAGAAAAGTAACAAATGAAGATGCTATAGGAACACGGAAAAAAAAACTGAATATGTAGATAACGATGATGAAACAAAAATAACGGTTCATCATCGACAAATGCGTCAATTCAAATATCGTTATTTGATAAGAACAAAGAAAGATACAAACTTCTTACGTAGTTTTTCTTTACTTTGAAGCAAAAAACCAATCAAAACCGGAACTTTAAACTAGAGAGCCAACTGCCCTTCGGGAAGATTGGAAAGTCGACTGAGTAAAACAGTAAACAGACGAAATTAGAACATCCACAAACTCATAGCTGTTTACGTATGTCCTACGGCATATTATTCACATTCAGATAACTGATTCATTAACGTGTCATATATTCTGCTATTGCACTGTAGTATATATTCACTATGAAATGAATCACGTGATGATTAATTATTTCATAGGAAAAATTATAAAGTTTTTTAAAGAATATACTCACTTTGTGACACTAAAGCATATATCCGAAAAATAACTTCAGCTGTTTCATCTATCTCTCTTGTAGTCTCGAATCTTTTTTCCAAATCTGAACGATTAGTAATAGCAGAGAACGAGTGGCTGACTCGAAGTAGAAAGTAGCGTCTAGAAGACTACATGTCAACTGTCCTACCGGCAGATTGGAACCCGACCGAGTGAAACGTGTCTAGGAAACACTTTAGACCCTTTTGAATCCTTTAAATACGATTAGAACACTGTAGTGCTCTGATTTGTAGTGAAACAGAATAAGCCTCTCCGAGATTCACTAGGTCGGCTTAAAGAGAGAAGAAAGAACTAGAGACCAACTACCGCTCGGGAAGATTGGAAAGTCGACTGAATGAAACGGTAAAGAGACGAAATTAGAAGAACTAGAAGGATATCACGTGACGATTAATTATCTCATACAGACAAGGCAAAGTTCTTCAAAAAGATATGCTCATCTTCTGGGACTAATTATAGGTCAACTAAAGTATACATAGAAAAATTAAGTTTAGATGTGTCATCTACAGTCGTTGCAGATTTGACTGATCTTTTCCCCGAAACTCTACGATTAGCTATAACTTAGAACGAGTGGCTGAACTGAAGTAGAAAAATAGTATGGAAAGAAATAAAGAAAGAACGAAGATTTTGCTAGGCAACGCTCACAGTGAAAAGCAATAAGTCTGAGTATCACTCAGTCCAATGCATCATATGTTTACTACTAGAGCACTGCAGTGTTCTAACCGTATTTAAGGGATTCAGTCAAGCGGTGTATTTTTATTAAATTATTATTATGTAAAGTATTTCTAACATACGTTTCACTCGGTCGGGTTTCCAATCTGTCCGTAGGGTACTTGGCACATGACTACTTAATGAATCCCTCTACACTATTCATACTGAATTAGACCCGTCGCAGGGCAACTTTTTTCGCCCTGTCCTGCCGCCCTACCCTGTCAAAAAATTACTCATAAAATTTTTGGGCCCTGCCTTGCTGGGCAGGACGCCCTGCAGTGCAAAAGAAAGTCTTTCTCCTTAACTTAGAAGGGATGCTTCCACACAGATTCGCCCACTTTATACAGAGCATCTTGCTGCGAAAATTCCACTCTACCCATATTGAAAATATGCTCAACTTTTGAGACTCATTACTTATTAATTAAAACTTATATCGAAAAAATAACTTTAGCTGTTTCATCTACCTCTCTTCAACTCTGGAATGATCTTTCTCCGGAGTCTGTAGAGTGTGGAAAGAAAGAAAGTAGAGATTGGAAGAAAGAAGAATTTTTTGTAGTGAAACAGAATAAGCCTTTCCGACTTTCACCCGGTCGGCTTAAAGAAAGAAGAATTTTGCTAGCCAACGCTCGAAACTAAACAGAATGAGTCTCCCTATCGTTTCACTCAGTCGACTTCAAGAAAAAAAGAAGAATTTTGCTAGGCAACGCTCGGAGTGAAAAGCACTAAATCTCCTCGAATTTCACTCACTCGACTTAACAATGATGATATGTATTTCAAAATCAGAAACAGCTTGATTTGGTATTCGTTTTCACAAACACATAAAACAGTATATTCTTATTCGAATTTCTAAACACGTTCAAGGATCTCAAAAGTACAAAAAGTACTGCCATGAATAACTGCAAAAACAAAGTGCAGAAAAAACGAGGATATCGATAGTTTGATTAATCGTCAAATTCTTGATTTTAAGTGGAATAAATATAAAGTATTTCGTTCCCACCATGTCAAAACTTTCAACAAGCGCTTATGTACACACACACACACTGTGTTACTGCTGTTAATTATTTCTTTCCACACAATTTTCAAGAGACGATTACAAAACAAGTTAACAACAAACAAAACAAATATGACACTTACACTGCTTATGTCACACGGCAATTCATCATCGGCCATAACGGGGATTCCATTCTTTTCCTAAAATGAATAAAACAGGTATTTCTTTAGAAATCAAGACTAATGTCTTGTCAGAAGCTCAATCTTCCTCTAGATAATTAACCGACGCTTTTTTCACTCCAAAATATCTAAAGAAGCAACTCGAAGACATCTAACTGTTTATTGATTGAATAGAGAGCATCATAATGCATTGAAATCGTTTCAAATACCATCAAATACTTTTTCGTTTCGATAGCACTGTGCAAAATAAAAATGTCCTGTAGCAAATAATTTGAAACCTTTTTTTAAATGTTGACTAAATCATATAGTGATTCAGATACAGTTGACATTTCGGGCATGCGAGGCCGATATGACATTTTATACGGTATCATTATTTCCCGTTTTTCCTAGAAAATGACTTTTGTAAAATTTTGTTTGCGCTGTATGAGATAAAACATCAGGTTAACATCCGCTGAAAAGATATAGATACAGAAAAGACAGACACACGTTTATCAAGTACACTAGAAGGACAAATGCAGATCCGCAGATCAATCTAACGAATGAATTTAAAAAAGGATTTGAATCCACTGTGAGTAAACGATAATAAAACATTGCTGATGTAGCGAATTTAATTGGGATTCATTACCATGGTTGTGATGATGATAGAATAAATGAAACCTGTTGAAGTATCCAAAAGCTATTCGTCAATGTACTACGGTAGTGAAAGCTCCAACACATTTATAACATAAAGTGTTGGTGTACGTGTTAATCAAAGATACTTTTCTGCCGGTCTCGAAACTGTTAAACAGACTTAAACAGACTGCTATTGATTTAGATACATAATTTTATAGGAAAAGGAGTCCAAAACGAACTATAAATTGAAAGTCGAAGTTCATGCCAGTTTTCGAGAACCATGTGCACTAAAATTATATTTGGTTTGAAATTACCACGGTAAAAATCTGAAGTTATTAGCGAAGCATCGGTAACGGTAACATGTTTTTACCGTCGCCGCTTCTCAGGTCAAATAATCCTATAATAGGGTCACATGGGATCTTGTAAGATCTTATATGATCCTATGAAATCGTATAGGACCTTATAGGGAACTCGTCTGCCATCTTAAAGCCAGAAATGACGTAAGATTTCTATTATACGATCATATGAGATCCTACAGTAGGAACTTAAAAGATCATATATAATCTTATTGTAGGATTTTACATGATCAGCTAGGATATGGTATGGTTTATCCTACTAAGTTTACTATTTTTTTTTGTTTAATTATTCTCTAATACCAGCTAGTCAGAATCAGGCGGTTCTGAGCTGGAATAAGCCCAAGACATGTGAGTACTCACTCACACGTCGTCGAACAGTATAGCGAGTTTCGATGGCTCACAGAATTTCGAAAATTTGAGCCTAAAAGAATTTTTCATTTTCTACAGTACAGTTGTATTTATATCAGCGTTACTACAAAACACGTCGGTGGTTGTGTTCTCGTACAGAAAAAGAAAAGAAAATATATACAGAGCGAAAAAATAGGAATTCTACAAAACCTTACCGTAGGATTTTGTAAGAAATGCATAAGATTCCTATTTATTGGAATCCTATAGAATTTTTGCTACCGTCCTATATCACGAATCTTATGGAATTCCTGCTATAGGATTTTATAGGATTCTATGATAATTAATTCTATGGATTCTATGGAATTATATGAAATCCTATTATCAGTAGGATCCTATAGGATGTTGTAGGAATCTAGTAGGTTCCTTGTAGCAACCTGGTAGGTTTAGTAGTTTTCTATTTTTGCTATTTTTCGCTGGAAAAAACAGAAAAATGCCTATAACTTTTGAAGGAAAAGCCTTCGGCCCGAATCCTTTTCAGCTTTCTACAACCTCGATATCCGCTACCGATCGACGTATGAATGAAAACGAAAAGGTACATGTCCATAGGTTGCCTCGTCAGCAAGAACGGCGAATTGTCGTGCAGAATCTGTTCGCGCCAAAATGCGAAAGGTGATTTGAATAAAGAGATACTTTGCTGCCCGTACATTCAATCAATAAGCTATGAGAAAAAAAATTTGGACCGATTCTTCTTAGCGTAGAAAAGTCGATTTTGCGATATTATTGTAGAATGTTTTAAGTACTTTAGCACCGAGCGCTTTATATAGAAAAATTAGTCCTTTATACGACACAGTTTAGAAAATTTCATCAATTTGTTGTTATTATTGTTTCAGTTAGTTTGAGTAATTATTAAAAAATATCTTGGTTTTTGATGCGCATTTGTCTTATTTTCAGTGCTCATTTGACATATAACTAATTTGGTGCTCAAAGTAAATACTGTCCTGTTAGTGGAGGCAAAAGAGAGGAAAAGAACAGAAAGGAAATGTACCGCGTGTCTGATATATTCTTGCCTGGAAAGCGTGCATTTCCTTAATGAAGGGAAAACTGAATTTCTCAGTATTTAGAAAGGTGAAAGGCTGAAACTCTATGGTAGTAGTAGACTGTTAGCTTAGTTCTAGAAAAAAATTTTAGCCCTAATTCAAGGCAAAAATTCAAAAACAAATTAAAGTGATCGAATAGGATAAAAAAATACATCATTCGACTTGATTGCATTTCCGGCACCTAAGGCCTATTGCAGTCTTTTCCTCACTGACCCCCGTTCAGGAATGACTAGAAATTTCTATCTTCATTGTTTTGGTATAGTGAAGATGAGGACCAGAGCGGTCGGACCGGATCGGTACCGGTTGAAAAAGTCAACCGGGCAGCAGAGACCGGTATTACACCGGTTGAAAGTTTTGAAACATGGTTCTTTTTGCCTTATTTTTCGTCAAAAAAACTAATATTTCACGTCTTTTTCAATCAGAATAAATAAGACGATGCTCAAGACAGATATTATATTCATCACTTGTTTTACGGATAAATATTATAAACTCGTTGTGAAGGTTCTCTCACATGTGCTCGCAAACTACTTCATTTTTGGCGCAAAATTCTTTCTGAAAATCGATTTTCAAAAAACCTCGCCAGGTTTTCGCCGGTTTGAGTTATAATCCCAATCGGCCAGTTTACCAGCCGGACCGGATCGGTTTATCTTTGCTCAACCGGTTCCAGCTTTGATGAAGACGCAGGAAGTCCAATATACCACAAGATAGTTCTTTATACTTCTGGGTGTCATTTGGTTTACATGACGAGTTTGGGTCAAATGATAAAATAGGCTTTACTAATCCGTACTATCATATACGCATGTTTTGTATAGTACGCTGGACTTTAATAGAAAAACTACTTCAATACTTGCTATCCAGCTATTCATCTGGACGATCACCTAATCTGCTATAAAGCCTACGGTCGATTTCAGAATAGAGTAAGTACGATTGCATGTTTAGTGACAAAGGTTATTGACCAAACTGAAGCCCGTGTTAATGTTTGTTTTTCGGAAAAAACTTAAAAAGCTATGTTAGGTCAAATAATCCATTTTGGACTATTATCACGTAAAATTAAAAATTCGTAACTTAGTCAAAATCGAAAAACTGCTTCAGAATATCATGATATACTCTATTTTATCTGCACGACACCACAAAATTCAATAAAAACCTCAATAAAAACTAGTGGAAATTAATTTGGTTTTTAAAAAGGTTGTCTAGAAACCTTTGGAAGTAAAAGAATGTTTTTTTACTAATGTTAAGTACAGAATCATGTTGAAGATAAAAATATAGTATATTTTGATATTCTGAAATATTTTAGATCGATTGCCACAGGCTTCAGTTTTGTCAATAACCTATATTTTGACCTGTTTCAAAATTTCCTAGGCTAAAAAGCCTTCTTTCCAGAGCTCTCTGGAAATCCAATAGTTCTATAACAGAAGGTGCTGAGAAATTTTGACTTGAGTAGTATTGTAGAGAAATGTCTGGGCTATCGATTCTATTATTTAAACTTAAAAACGCATCACACCTTCGTTCTTTGACAAGAAGGATTCCAAAGATCCTTCTGACAACCTCTTGAAACCCGTTTTCAAAATTTTGATTCGAATATACAGCAACATCCTGCGGTCTTCTTTTTCTGATGGCGAGGACCGCAGCTTGATAGCTAGTTCCGTTCTTTAGTTATCCAACCTGCAATCGTACTTTCTCTATCTTGAAATGGGCCATAGTTTCGTCCTCCCGAATGTGTCATGTTTAAGCTGTTACTTATTAAAGTGTCACTGAACAAATACTCTCTTTTTTATAAACATCCCTCGCTCTCACCATGATGCATTGAAATGAGTTGTGTCGATCGTGTGCCGACAACACTCGTATGAAATCAGAAGATCTAGAAAACTGACTACCGTCGTCAACATGCAGAGTATGTATACCCAGGTGAAAAACGTCTTACAAGATCTTGTAAGATCTGATGATTTCTTATGCAATCTTGCTACAAGACCTTGTAATACCTTATCTCAAGATCATGTATGATGCTGCAGAATCTCGTAGCTTCTTGTCGTAAGATCTTACATGATCAGCTTATAAGAAACGTTATAAGAAGATCTTGTAACACGAAATCTTAAGATCTTGCAAAATCTTGTCAATAAGAGCGTTTACTAACTACGCCAGATTCCTTCCTTTCCATATTATGAAAAGAAAGAGTTCTTTTAAAGAGGGTCTAGGGTGGATCTGTAGAACAGAACCAGAGATTTAACCTTATAAAATCTGATGAATTTTTATATGATCTTATAAAGTCTTTCAAGATCTTGTCACTTCTTTGAACGATCATACAAGATCTTACACAATCTTGTTGCAAGAAAAGTCTTGTGAAATCTTATAAAATCCTTTAACCATAATTCTTATGAAATCTTGTAATATCTTGTACGATGATCTTACAAAATCATATTTCAAGATAATTTGCCTTTCGTAGTAACGCCCATGCTAGATGTATTTGTGATATTAGAGTAGGAACTGACAGATCACTACTTTACAGACTGATACGTACGCTATTAGTGATTGATTGATCAGTTATTTCTGGCTCTAATAATGACACATCATCTTTGTAATTAATGGCTAATGGCATTTTATTAATTTGTTCGATCTTCTCACAAGTATGAGCTGTTTCTTCTTCTTTAATATATTCTAAGCTCTTTTCTTGTTGTTGATAACGAAATGACGACTTAATACTAGTAGCTGTGGGTGTTTGTAATGAATCAACGGGTGAAGTTGAATAAACAATAAATGAATTTTTAATCTGAATAAACTTTAAGGATTGTGGATAAGGACTTGTTGGTGTTCGATTATTATTACAAATATCGAACGCATTTTTTGACACTTGATAACCGCTGGCAGATAATGGTGGCTCTTCTCCAATAAATGATGGTGGTGTATATTCATCATTCGTAAACTCTATTATTTTACTATTTTTATCCGCTGTTGAATCGTCAATATAATTCAAAAATACTCCTTGCTCTTGGTTATGTTTTGAAACATCAGGCGACAATGTCTGTAAGGGAATAGCGTATTTATTATCGTCTTCGTCGTTTATCGATCGTTGATGTTTTTGATTATTATTCTCGTTTAAAATAATGTCGCTAACCTTCTTATTACCAACTGTTTCACGCGTAGAAGGAGAACAAGTTGATTTCTATACAAAAAGAAACAGAACTATATGTTTTAGCACTACATTTTTAGAATAAGTATATCATTTACAGAATAAAAAGGAAAAAGAAAAGAAAAGGAGTAGTCTCATTTTTCTTCCGAAAAAGAAAAAATAATATACGCCGGAAAGAAGATGAAAAATCATCGGTTCCAGTAGAAAACCCATAAGTACCATGATAATATGCAGTAATGGTTAAATCACACAATCAAGAATTACCGCACTAAGAAATATTAAAATTATAAATCAAGCTTTCTGATCTTCCCACAATATATATATATATATATATTAAATGAGCTTTTCTTGGACGCGTACAATCGAACGTTAACGATAGACGAAGCTATAAGACACTTAATCTATGCGAATATTCCAAAGGTGTAAGAGAACAAATCAATTATTTCGTTGTACATCTTTGATTCCAAGTACATCGGAACATTACGTCTCAATGCAAAATACAAAGTACATGGAAGGAAATGAATTTGTCTAAGTATCACACATTCATCTTAGAAACTATGAATAAAAGATTCATTTCTAAACTAGAATTACATTCTCATAGACCAGAATGAGACAAAAAATGGTTAAAAAGAAATTATAAGTTCATAACTGTATCAGCTCGATGATCGCTATACTCATAGACAAATGATTATAATAAGGTTTATGAAGTGTACTATATAATGTTGATTAATGAAAGTGATACAGTTTTTCTATTTTTCTTGAAAAAAAATTAAAAAAAGAGGTTCCCTATAGTACCAACAGTACGCACGTACATCAGTCTAAGTGTCAAATTTAGTTTCAGAGAAAAGAGAATATTCGATCTCATTCAGATCAGTGACTATCAATCTAATATGTAGAAGATAATCTTACTCCGGTTTGATTAAAGAACATAATTAAATATTAAAAACGTTCTCAATGCAACTCTTTGAATCGTCGTAGGATTAACATCAGATAACAGTGAGTATTATTAGTGAACACGTTTAATGTACTAAATTCGCCATCTATCTACTCTAGAGCTAACGACTCGTGAAGTTCTTATCAAAATATCAGATAAACATGAATGGGGAAAAATTCTTTCAGAAATCAAAACTAATAATATAAGAGGCGATTAAAATTTTTTTCGTCTGTGCATGTTTCTGTATGGTTGTAGACCTCTATTACTCTTAGTTAAACCTACTTATTATCCGGTTACAATGAATTTTTAAACTGATAATGACCTTGACCGTACACTTCAAACTTTTTTCTCTTTACTTGGTAATCTTACATTGAGTCGAGTATTGTAGAATATCTTTTTTTGTTTCGTTCGTAATCTACTTTGAATAGTTCTGTTTTCTATATGATGATGATGAAAAACTATTTTCAGTTAAAACAGAAAAGTGGTAAAGAACCAAAGAAAAAATAATCAAGAGAAACAAAATTGGGTAGTGATCAGAAATCAAGCAAAAATTGAACGTGGAATTATACAGAGGAGAAAAAAGTCATTAATGGTCATGTTCTTTTTCTCTGAATGAATCTCTATGCGAATGCTTTTTCAAAATTTTAAAGAGTAAGAGAAAAAGTGCTATCTACTTTTCCTCATTTGCTATGGTCAATTTAGTATCATTTCTCAAGCTTGACATATTCGATGAAATCAAAATAAGATGGATTAAATGTCAACTTCAATTTTAATTCTATTCAAGTAACTGTTTACCTACTTGTACATAAATATCGCAGTAACTATCCAACCATGAAAAAAAGAAGCTGTAAAGATTTTTTCAAAATTCCCACCCAAGCAAAGTTCATGCGATGGCTGAATTTGGGGATGATACGTGTCAAAGAAAAGTCGCTTCTTACGAAAAGTGACCTATTTCTAAAACATTGCACATAATTAGTGAGCTACCGACTGAAGTTTAATTAAGTCTGATTTTTCCAATTCTGTTACATGGTTGAGGTATGAGTTGGAAAATATGTCGAAATCACGCAAACGTTGTTCCTTAGAATGATCATATATAAGGACATTTATACTTACATACGCAATATTATAATTGGAAAAAAGGGAGAATTAAAAATTGATTCGATTATTCTTACAACAAAAATACTTCTTTTCCATTAATTATCTATTCTTTACACGCCTCAAATCGTATACATTCTTTTTAGCGAGACTGTCATACACGTTTTTTTCTTTGCTCGATTATTTTAGTTTTCTTTCTGATTTGAAACAACCGCAGAGACACATTTTTCTATCTTGATTAATATTTTTTTATACCGTTTCCTTTTTTTTCTAATGCTTTTTATATTCGCTCACTGTATATTGTTTTGGAGAAAGAAGCAGAATAAGAAACGAGCATTTTTTACGGTTTTATTTTAATGAAGGCAATAAAGGCCAAATTGTGTAAAAATACAGTAGAATTAACAATTAAGAAGAGATTTTATATTTTTAGATGTGATGCGCGAGAGAAATGACATCGTTCATGTGCATTCTCAAAAACTTAAAATCAAAACTAAAGCATCTATTGTGTTTTTCTTGGTGCGGCTCATTTTGATACAATAAAGCTGAGCTAAAAATCGAAATATACATGTATTCTTACAGATTGCTTATGTCATACTACAGAGATCTCACATCAAAATCACACTTTTCTTCAGAAGAAAAGTATTGAATGACGCGAAATCAACGTCGAGTCTAAAGTCTCGACAAATTAAAAATTCCGTTTCAACTAGATTATCTATTCAATATTTTCCCCAGAGATTTTTTATTATAACCACTTTTCATGCAGAACTTTTACTTTCTGACATTTTCGCTGTATTGAAATGCACGCTGTAGAAAAAAGCATTCTGGAAGAGAAGATCTATTAAAAGGTAAAAAAAACCTACGGTGTTTATCAACAGTAATATAAAAACTCGCATTATGTGATACTTTTTATGTCATTTATTATTTCTTTTTATCATCTATTATATTTTCTTATCAGAAAAAATCATCCAAAACCGAAGTCGAAGTATAGCACAGACTATTTCTATAATTAAAACACCTTTTCTTTCTCTAATTTTTAAAAAAAAAGCATAACTTACATCAATATTATATGGTCTATTTTCATCCGTCATCAACAAAAAAAGTTCGTTTTTCATTTTCTATAGAGAGGTCATACAATAGAATAGTACAACCACCAACACAACACCATATATTCCCACTTTATCTCTCTCTCTTTCTCTCTAATATATATAGAAAAATATATATAGAAATATATATAGAAAAACCTGAACAAGAAAACATTGTTACATTTTCTCACCAATAACTAAATAGATAAAAATCGATTCCTCTCTATCGTTGTGAGTATTTTTCAATTCAACCTTTTCTTCTCTTTAGCAAGCTTCTTTTTTTTCCCTCATAAATCTAAAACCATACTGAGTTTTAAATTTTCTATCTTACAAATCGATGGAACAAGTAATTAGTAGCTGAAGTTTTTGAAGCAGGTATTTTGTTAGCCTAGTGATTGGACCAATACTTGCAACGTAAATTCAAAGTACTTGTAAATAAAATTACTTGTCGAAATCATCAGGAACTGGTTTCATTAGTTATACCAAGCACTTTTTCAAGCACTTGGCTTCAAGTGCATCCACTAGGGATATACCCAAAACAAACTTCATTTTCGAAAGAAAGCAATTACTGCGCACTGTCAGTAGTGTCTTACCAATATTTCAGTGAATATGTATTGAATTGAGAGATGGAGATGTTTGAACATAGCGATAGATTAGAATAGAACCTGTAATATTCTTCTACTGATTAATGAAATAGAAGCGAAAATTTATATCCTTATAAACGTCGATAATAATAATAAGAGAAAAATAAATATAAAATACACGATTCTGTGAGAGAATGTTTGGTTTTTTTTTTCTTTGACGTCTAAACGATTGGTAATATTTATAGAATAAACAGATTAAAAAGAAAAAATGCTATATAAACTTTGCAAAAATTCGAAATTTAAGTCGCCCACAATCAGAAATGAAGTGATATTTGTATTACAAATCCTCTTGCAGTTGCATAAAACTAAACTGTTCTAGCTCAATCTGCTAATTATAGTCACATATGCAGAAAGGTAATATTTTCTCTACTAGTATTCAAGATTATTATTCTATTTTAGTTTTTTTAAACTACATACCTGGTGTTTATCGTAAAATTTTCGAATAAATTGATAAGATGCTGATAACGAATGTTTTAAAAACGAATAAAAGTCAAATGGCGAACATGTTGGTTCATAACATGAAAAAGGAATGTCCATCCTCAATTTTAAATTGTCGTTTGATAAAACTGGATCATTCATATTCTCATCAAAATTTAAACATTCAAATGTTTAAAAAAAATAATAAAATTACTAAAATAAAATACTGATGGCGATTTTAATCTATAAAGAAATACAATAGTGAAATAGATGTACATGTATTTTGTCATAGTTATAAACCTACGGGATGAACAGAGAGACATGAGTTTATATTTGACAGAAGATGACGTCATTTTATTCTTCTGTATTTTGTTAACAGCATTTTGTTTGAGAGAACAGAAGGCAAAAGAAAGAAAAATGCTAAAAATGTAGTTCATAGTCCACGCCAAAACAATTCGATTAACAATCGTACAAAGAGTCCGTCAAGTAGGAATACGAAAATGATCAGTACTACATATACCATCTTATTCCTACATTTGAACATCAAACATTTATTTTGTATTTTATACACTCCCGTCTGATTGCATCTCGACATGATTGCTTTATAACAGCTTGGAAAAACAAAACAATAGTGAAACGTAAAAGCCAGTAAAATTCAATAGAAAGTAAGGCTACTAGAAAAAAAAGAAATGTTGAAATTTTCTAAGAATTTTTTTTTCATACGATATAATGATAAAGAAGAAGCCAGACGAGTTATGAAAAAAGAAGAGACATAGTCGTTGAAGTCGTACATCTACGACATATCACAAAACTATTTCTCTTTCATAACGTGAGAACCATATATTATTATTTGAAATGTCATAGAAATATAGTTATTTTATGTAGAATGGTGATCGTGTAGAAAGTCTTAATCCCTCGACACTAATCGTTACTTTCTTACCCTGTCTTGCAACGATAGTTCGAGTCCGGTCATGCTTTTAGTGAAAAGTAGTCAAGAAATGCATAACTTTGACCGAAGCACTTCTCTATCAACAGTTCATAGGATCGATGTGGTTCCTTCGGACTTTATGTTTGTTATATTATGTAGATGTTCCCTTTCTGCAGACAAAAAATTATCCGATCTATGGTTCGGTAGATATTTTGGAAACAGTGCCTTTTTTTACATTATATCCATATTCTATTTATGATACGATTCATATGCGCACAAACGATAATTAAAACAATTCTCAATAAGTAGTGATTTTTATGCTATACGATTCATCATCAAGTAAAACTGATTCGGTTGCGAACTTTCATCGAAAAATACTTTATCGAAATTTTTTTAGTGTAGGGTATTGTTAAGAAGCTTAAGCACGGATAAAATTTAGCAGAGCCGTGAGAATGCTGTGCCTGTATGAATCATAAGATAAATAGATTTCAAAACATACGAAAAAAATATGCTATTTCCAAAATAGCAGACAGAGGTTAAGCTATTACAAGATGGTTCCTTCACACTTTATGTTCAGTATATTGTGTAGATGTACCCTTTCATCAGACAAAAATTTAACTGATCTGTATTTGTTGACCTATTTTGGAAATAGCATATTTTTTTCCGTATGTTTTAAAATCTATTTAGCTTATAACTCATACACGCACAGTAGATAATTAAAATAGATATAATGACAGAAGACGATCAGGTTTGAGTATGAATTATTATGAAATCGCGAGACAGGGACCGATCTACCAAGATCTTGTGAGAATCGCTGCTTCAGAAAGCGTCAAATCAGCTAATTATCAATCCTAAACATGCTATAAAGAGAATAGTTCACATTGTAAAATATAAAATACGAGGTCAATCCAACGAAACTGAACCCGAATATTACCGAATCATCGAGTCGGGTCAGGTTGCAGATGTTTACTGGAGAGAGCACAGAAAATTGTGACAAACTAAAATTCTAATGGCAGTTTATTTATGATCAAATGGAAGCTCACCCTCACGACAATAACTTTTCTACGAACTCATTTTTTTGTATTTGTGTGAAAGTACTGTCGAGTATTTAATACATCCGAGTTCTAAATCCTACTTTTGTAATTCCAAATTTAGTCGAAATTATTTTTAAACTCGAAACGAACTTTTTCAATTCTTGATAGATACACATTTTCGCTAGGAATAGTTTCCAGTCAAATAATTTCAGTATCTAATAATCATTTTTCGGATTCTGCTTATTTTTTCATCAGGAACTGACATATCCTTCCGCAATCATTCTACACACTGCGCGTTTAACTACCGTAATAAATATCGTTCGCAATTATCAACTATGTCCTTCTATCAGATCATTTCTGTGCACAAAATCTCATGACATTATTAGTAAAACGTGAACCAGCGATCAACCGGTTGGATTCATACCGAATTAAGTAATATTGGATTGAAATCCGAATTGAGTAACATTAAACAAAATCACGAACAAATTCAAAAAGAACTGGAACAAACAAAATCAATGAATGATCTACTAAAACAGAATGTCGCTGTAAATCAACAATTACTAGATCAACTACAGAACGAAACTCTTTTACTTATCTCTAGAGCTCGTCGCGGCACAAACATACTGAAACTACAAGTAGAACGGGATATTCCATCTGTGAGACAGTTGATAAAGTACATCAAATTGATACTTATTTACAAAATCGTGCATAAATATGACTTATTTCACATAGTATGAATTATACGTCTTTTTCTTGTATAACGTAAATTTCATTAACTTTAGTGTTAAACCACAAATCAGACAGCATCTTAGATATTCCACATAGCACTGTGATTTTACCTCAGTGACAGCTTTCCCCTCAAATGTTTTTCAATTATTTTAAACAAAAATTATCCATATATTCTCCAACTCTAAGGAGAGCCAGTAAATTTGATCAAACAACTGTATAGTAGTGACAGATTATATATAACGGCAAGACCGCACCAGATAAAATTGTGTCATAAACCAACCGTCTACACTCTAAAAAAAAGCGTGGTTTAAAAAACTTTAAAGGGTTTAGGAAAATGAAACCATACAGAACAAATAAGGGTTTAGAAGTTTATATAAAAAAGCGTTTAGGAGAGGGTTTATCAGCACTCCAAAACCCTTATTCGTTCTGAATAGTTTCATTTTCCTAAACCCTTATAAAGCGTTTAGGAGAGGTGTAGAAACGCGTGAAGTTACTAAACCTTCTCCTATGAAACTATACAGAACAAGAAACAGTTCAGGAGGGTTACTAAGCCATACCTAAATTTATAATAGATAATGATGCTGGCAATTGGTAATGTATGTTGAAATGTTTCGTGTCTAATGTCTTTATTTTTCTTCAATTTTAAAAGTCTTCTATAAGATTTTGAAAAAGTTCGAGATATTTGGGCAAGCTCCAGAGATCGATCGAACTCAGCTAAAAAAGCTTTCGTATGTTCTATTAATTAATCTGTATAGAATACTGTCTTTTTTTCAACAGCAAAACCAAATAACGTACAGTAATCAGTGAAAACAAAACAGCGTAGACGCACAAATAAGTTGGACGGGAAAAAACATAATGTAATCTTTTTTTAAAACAAACGAGTTTATTAAATAACTAATTTACATAGTGAGTACAGGGTAGTTGCAGTGAGTAAGAGAATATGGACATATAAATCCTTTTTATTTTACTGTTCCACAGTTGAAATTTTTCTTCAGACGTTTTGGATATATCAGAAACGAGTCTTCTTTCTCAGAAAATGTACTATATTTAAGGACTTCTGTGTTTTTTCTCGATCGATGTTTACTGTGTAAAGGTCTCGAAATAAAAATGCACAGAAGTGAGAAATGCATCAAAGGTTGATGTTTTTTACAACAATTGTGAGTATCCTCGGAGTAAGATCGCTTTGCTGTTAGTAACTCTGAGGATGTAGCAAAGATCAGTTCGGTTCTGTTTGACGCACAGAAAATTGGGGCTCAGCCATTCCGTCTAATTCACAGAATATTAGATTGGCTCTAATAACGAACTGATCCTAGCAATAATATCTACGGGTATACATTTTCTGAAAGTCCAAGCGTGAATGTTTTCTTCACATATTATGGCAAGCGTTACCTTATTGGTAATCTTCACACCCGAACCATAAAACATCAACCGCTCTCACTTTTATTTTGAGATCAAACGCCCGTTATATGTCAAACCCTAATTGAGAAATACATGGGACAACTTAAAAAAGTCTGAGATTGACGCTGTTTTAGAAATAACAATCAAAATGTTTCTAAAAGTTCAAAAAACTGTTAGCACAGTTTCTATGACAATTAGAGAGCGTTTTTACAAATAAAATTGCTCTGTACTTATGCTAAGCTCAATCTCGAAGCAAGTCTGAGATGAATGATTCAAATTGGGTGCATTATGTTCCCGAAGAGAAAGTATCTTCTCGAAAGATCTTCTCATATCGAAAGTAAAAGAACAAATACACTTTAAGATAACATCGTCGTCATCATTACTACAAAGAAAAACCAGCTTTCATCATGCTTCTGAAGAGAAAACCGGGTAAAGAATGATGAAAGTAAAAACAATCATATTTCTACCATCGGAATTAGGCCTTGAGGACATTTTGAAGTAGCAGAGGAAATGATAATGCTATTGCGGAATGTTTCGAAATATAAAGTGTATGTAATATTCGAATTATAAAGTGTATGGGTTTCTAAAAAAAACCCTTTTGTTTTTTGCCAAAACTGGAAAATCCTTCGCTACATGAAAAATCCAAAACAATATTTTCCTAAACCAAATGGTGTTAGGAAAAAACCCTTTTGATTTTCACCAAAGCTAGAAAACCTTTCGACTCTTTCTAAAGAACGCTTTTCTTTTTAGTTTTTCTGGTCAAATAGAAAACCCCTTTGTTTTTAAATACGCTTTTTTCGGTTTAGGAAAAATTTTCTAGTGAATGTTTGGTTATTAAACCATTTGGGTTGTGTAAAGTAGATACTAAACCATTTTGGGTTTAGAACTGTCCTTCTAAACTCTTTCGGTTTTTCAAAATACGCGTTTTTTTAGAGAGTACTTCATGAAAAACGTAAAAATGTCATCAAAGTAAGTAGTACTGTATAAAATACTACTGGAAGATTTACCGACAATTAAGTATTTTTTACTGT